GCTAATAAAAAATCCTAGAATAGCTGATAGAATAAATCCTAGGAAAGCTCACAAAATATACTGCAGTTATTATCATGCATTCTACAAAATAAAACTAGGTATCTTTTGTCTAAAACTAGATAATTTGTACAACCTGACATTTCATTGAGTGTTTCCTTTCAGGGGGTAAAATGAACAAATAAAATGTCATGTTTTTAGCATACAACTAATTATTTCCTATTAATATCAAGCACATCATTTTTAAAACTGAACTCTAGGTAAATATAAAAGACACACATTGATGCAGCTTTGTATTCAGTAATATATTATTAAAATGTATGGAAAGCTGAACCTTTTTGTTTTATCAAGGAAGATATCTGCAATCCCTCTGGGGAGATTTTCCAACACTTCCACAAAACAGGAAATGAGAGAAAATATCTTTGAATGGAAACGCCATATTAGAGCTGTCACAGGAGCCTTTTCCCCCTATTAATAGATTTTACCCACCCTCTTGCACAGTGGACACTCATAATTTTTGAATTCCTCATCAATTTCTTGACAAAGGGTCTAACCCTTCCCTTTTCAACCTGAAACAAAAAAAAGTTGCCTTTACATACACTTTGAATATTTTTTAAACACAAGCTGTGTAAGTGCCTGAATTTGACTTGGTATCAGCCCCTTGCAATCTCTATAAAGCAGAGCTCAGACCGTGAGAACAAGAAACAGCACAATGAGCCACTCAGTTGTGCCAAAGCACTCATTTGATAACAAGAAGTATTAGGATAGTAGAGGATAGTGAGGATAGTAGAAGAGAGGAGAGTGATATAAAAAAAAGCTCATCAGCCTTCTGGTTCTCATTTCTATTACAGGATGGGGATGAGAAGACCTGTAAGTGCTCCTTAACTGTCAGGCAGGTATATGCTATGTGGTACAGTAAAAATATCATAGCAAGAAATAGAAATCTTTTAGCAGGTAAAACTGTTCCCATAAACTGTATGTATTTAATTTCTGTGTTTAGCTGTTTGCTTTAAAGTGTAACTCCACATAAAAAAAAACCCAAAAACATTGAATGAATATAGCTTATATTATTGTTGCACAAGCCATTGTGTAATGTAACCACCTTACATCCGGCTGTTGTAATTAAACAGCTGGAATATGGCATTTTGGATGTGGCTGTTTGCATATAAGCGTTCTGGCAGCTGTAGAGCCGCCCAATCACTTATATTATGCAGGTGAGTGTATGCCCCTCCTCCCCACCGCCAATCCCGAGCTCTGTTGTGCCCATTGCAGGCCGGGGACTGGCACAGCGGCTCTGTCACCCGAGATCAGAGGGAGTTCAGTACACAATCTCCATCTGATCTCTCTGCCAGTCTCTGAATGCAGAAAGTGATGTACATTACATCACTTCCCCATTTAGCTGTCATTCCTGGCTACAGAAGCCGGAGAGAAGTTGGTGAAGAAGACCTCTGCTTCATCAGTTTCATTGGGGTTTCCTAGGGGACATTAAGGGTCTTAGAGACCCCTGATGGCTCCATAAAGAAAACATGTCACTGTAAATTGGCTAACACATAGGCAGCTAAGAAGCCCCTTATGTAATAGCAATAAAGTTTAGTGAAAAAAAGTAAAACAAAATTAAAGTTACAAATAAATAGTCACATGTAAAAATAATTTTTAAAAAAATGTAAAGTCTCCCGCCTCCACATACACACACAAACATGTGTTGGGTGTGCCTACGTGTGAAAAGGACGATTGTGCTTATTGCACTGCACATGTTACATATCACAACACATGCTGGAGCGTGAGCAATAATTCTAGGACCATTAGTCACTGATGACACTAAACTGATAAGCAGTAAAAGTTTTAAAATGTTGCCTATGGCCAATTTTGGTTATGGTAGTTTTTTGCAATTCCGTGGGCATGCACAGTTTTAAAGCTTGACATGGTTGGTGTCTATATACCCAAGGCGACTTCTTATATATTTTACAAAAAAATACATAAAATAGGAAAACTTTTTTTTTCCAGTACTTTTTTCATTACATAGTAAAAAATAAAAAAAACCCAGTGGTGATTAAATACCACCAAAAGACAGCTCTAAAAATGGTATAAAATTAATTTCAGTACATTGTTGCATGACTGAATAAATGTCAGTCAAAGTACTGCAGCGCTGAATACTGAAAAATGGCCTGGATGGGAAGGGGGTGTAAACACCATGGTTATCAATAGTGATGAGCCGAACACCCCCGAGTTCTGTTCGAATTCAAACTTCCGAACATGGGAAAGTTTGAATTCTAACTCAAACTCAATGCAAGTCTATGGGGGTAGAACTTTCAAAATCAAATGCTCGCATTTTTAAGCTTTATATGCAATTTATTGGCCATAAAAAGTGTATGGGGGTCCAAATACTGCCCTGGGGGGCAGGAATCAATGAAAAAAAAACCTTTAAAAAAAATAGAGTTTTTAAAGGAGCAGTGATTTTAACATCACTTAAAGGGTAACAATAATAATACAAAATTACTTTAAATATTGTGCCTGGGGGTCCCCTTAACCTGCCTGTAAAGTGGCACATCTGTGCAATGTATATAACCTGCTGCAGCAAAACTGGCATTTCTAAAGAAACAAAAATCACATTTATTTATTTAAAAGCGTGCAGTTCCCCCTCCCAAACAATATCAGACCCATTAGGTCTGGTAGAATTGTTAGGAGGGACCCCATTCAAAAAAAGTGTGCCCCCCTCAAAGACATCCCAGACCCTTAAGGAATTTTAAGGAGGAACCCCACCTCCAACAATGGTGGGAACATGTGGGGTCCCCCTTAAAATTCCATGTCAGACCCTTGATCTGAGCGTAGGCCTGGCAGGACCAGAAAAGGCCACATGCCCTCAGCACTGGGAGGGTGCTTTTTCCAGAGTCGCCCCACAAGCACTGGGAGGTTGGTTGTGGGGGTGAGGGCAGGGGGCTTGTTCACACCAGGGTACCCCTTTAATAAAAAGGCACCCAGATGTGCCCCCCCCCCCTTGTGAATGAGTAAGGGGTACCCCTACCCATTCACTAAAGGGCTAAATACAAGTTTTACAAAAGAGGCCAGACTTATTTAAAAAATCCTTTATTTGAAAAAAAAACCCACACAAAACACGTCTTTCATTTTAAAAAAAATGGATTCACTGACGAAATCCAGCGTCAATCACGACGTCCAGCGTTGTCCACAATGACTATGACTCGATGAAATAAAACCTAAAACAATACAAATAAATAGAAATAATACACACACAAAAACGAGGACTGCGTCCTGTCCGCTGCGACAAACAACCACAGCAGAATGGCATTTTGACAGATGCCGGTAACATATAAACATTTAGACGGTGCTAGCAGTGACAGCTAGCTCCACCCAACTGTTCACAGTTGTAACAGGTGAGCCACGATTGGGCAGAGTCATCATGACTTTGCCCAATCATGATTCTCATAGTTATATGTGCCCTGATTAGGCAAAGTCTTGCACCTGACCAGGTGCTTTAGCCAATCAGGGCTCACAAGGCAGAGTGCCTTGTGCGGGGTGTCCCTGACAGTTTGTGTGTTTGCCAAACACACAAACTGCCGATGTTTGAGACAAACTTATGTTTGGCTTGAATGTTCGGCTTGAACATCGAGCCCAACCCTAGTTATCAAGTGGTTAATGTTATAAAAAATTACCTTTCCATTTAAAACTGTAGCCACTGTAATGTTCTAAAGCTGTCAAAAAATAAATGCACTATGGCAACCTAGAAGCATACCATGGCAACCTGGAAGCATACCAGTAATGTCACTTCCTGCTGGATTGGCTGACTGATTTCCCTATAATCTGAAAGAAACATGTACAATTTTTGGCAGCCCTTGCAATAGGAATTTCATTTTTGGTAAAGTACTCCCTAAGGGTTAATTACTACTAATGGGATGCTCACACTGCACCTTTCCTGATCACAACACAGAAATCCCACCAGCTCATTATAATGAACCCAGAACCTCCCATTCAGTGATCAGTCTGTAAAGGACATGCTGCAACAAACAGCTTTTTCTTACAGTTAGTAAACTGCAACTAAATTGGTTTAAAATATTTGCAATGTACTCAGATCACCCAGAGAGGATTATTTTTTTCTTCAGCAAAAGTGAATCTACTCTTTAAGATCACATTTATGGAATCAATGGTGTTTTAATTGAAGGCAGGTAAATATGAGACAATATTTTTTTTGGATTTTAATTTAACACTTTTAAAAAGTGTGTGCAAGCTTCAAGCAAGGCTAGATAGTATCTATAGTCTCAGCAGCTGGTGTGCTTAACAGGAACCTAGAATTACAGTGGCACTAAAGTTAAATTTTAAAACTATATTAGTAAACTAAAAGTTAGATTGTAGTCATCCAAGCTCACTCTTACACACATGATGGATTACAATCTCACGTTTAGTTTACTAATTTGTATTGAGTGAGTGAGCTTGGAGGGGTAGCTACTTTACAACCGACACAAACGTAGCCACCCTCCAGAAGGAAGGGCAGTGTCGGCACAAATTTAGAGATGATTAGATGTTCTACAGCCAAATTATACACAAATAAGCTAAATTTTTATTAGTTGGGGTTCTTTAATGCATTTTTAAGATTTACCTCCCCACTTTAAAAGAGGGATACTTTCCCCCCTTCCTCTGCTAGCACAAATGGTAATGCTTCAAACAGTGGATTAACAAAGCTTGCAGACAATTTAAAATCAGGCTGAGCTTTCCTATTGGAAAGCATAACAGCATTACTATTTTTTTTTTTCTTAGAAAGCACACCTTGCATAGATAGTGACATGCATGAAGGCTGTAATAAACGTCCGTATTCAAAGTCTCCATCATATATGGCTCCTTATCATCTGTCTGAAAACGCATATTATTTTAATTGAGTTCAGTTTTAACTTTTCAGCCCAATTTACTGCATGCATTCATATCACCTATAGCACATTATATTTGACTTAATTTAAAACAAAATTTGAAGTTGTATGTGAAACAAAATACTGTACCTATGCTCCAATCAACTTCTTCCACAGCATCACCATAAATACCATGTTTACTTTTTCCTCTAAAATCTTGAGAGGCATAAAGTGCAGTATGGACTTGCACATATGACATAAGCAGAAGGAAAGGTTTATGCTTGTTCCTGTAGATTAATAAAACATAGCATGCTTATCATAAATACAATTTGAATATACTCTAGAATATTTGGTTTGTGTTGTAAAAATTTGATTTTATGTGGTGAAGAATAAAGCATACTTAAATAATCCTCGCATAAAAAGGTACACAAGCACTAGTCTAGTTTCTGTAGTAAATTCTACTTAGAGATCATCAATGACCCTAGAAAACCTGCATACTTTTTAAATGTTTAAAAATTGTTTAAGGAAAGCGTAGAGTGGTTTATATTTTCTTAAATTATTGTTGTCAGGTTAAGCAAACATTATTATTTTTTTGTCAGGTGAATATTAAATATTTTCTTGCATATGACTATTACACAGTATTTACCCCATCTAGGAAATGAAGCTTTATGTTCCCATTAACATGCTGCACATTTTCTCATAACCATGGTGTTGTAAACAATAGCTACACTGGATATAAAAAGTATACACATGTGTTTGAGATGTAAAAAAAAAAACAGACCAAAATAAATCACTTCCAAATTTTCTCCACCTTTTAATGTGACCTATAATCTGTGTAATTCAATTAAAAACAAACTGACATCTTTAAAGGAGGAAACATTTACAGAAATGTGGTTGCATCAATATAGAAAAAAACTAATGTTTGGTTGAAGCACCTTGTGATTTTGTGACACCATTCAGTCTTTTGGGGTAGGAGTTTATCAGCATGGCACATCTCGCTTTTGGAATCTTTGACAACTCTTCCTTGCAAAGTGCTGCAAATCTGTCAGGTTTCCAGGGCACCTCCTGCACACAACCCTCTTCCGGTCACCCCACATATTTTCAATATGATTCGGGTCTGGAATATGGCTGGACCATTCCAAAACATTGATCCTGTTTGGGTGAAGCCATTCTTTTGTTGATATGAAGGTATGTTGAGGTATGTTGTTGTTGAGCTGAACGGTGAAATTCCTCTTCATTTTCAGCTTTTTAGCAGAGGCCTGTTGGTTTTGTTCCCAAATTGACTTATATTTGTAACTGTTTATAAGTTCTTATACCTTAACTAAAGCCCCAGTTCTAGCTGAAGAGAAACATCATCAAAGCATAATTCTGCCAGCACCATGCTTCACTGTGGGTATGGTGTTCTTTTGTTGGTGCACAGTGTGGTTTTTGCGCTAAACAATTTGGAAATAAGATTTTGGTCTCATCAGATCATAAAATTTTCCTACATGTTTTTGCCAGGCTTGATGTAGGTTTTTGCAAAATGTAGCTGGGCTTCAATATGTATTTATTTAATATTAAAGTTTGCCACCCTACCCCACAGCCCAGATATATCGAGAAAACGGGAGATTATTTCCACATGTAGTACCTAACCAGTGCTTGCCAGAAATTCCTGCAGCTCCTATAATGTTGTTTTAGGCCTCTTGTCAGCCTGCCAGGCAATTTTGTTTGTTTTTTCATCAATGTCTCGCTCTTGGCAATGTCGCTCTTGGCAATGTCACTCTTGTGCCATTATTTTTTTCCACTTGTTGATGACCGTCTTCACTGTATGTCTAATGTCTTTGAAATGTTTTGTACCCTTCACCTGATTGATACTTTCCAACAATGAGATCCCTTTGATGCTTTGTAAGCTCTTTGCGGACTATGGCTTTTGCTGTAAGAGGCAACTTAGCAAAAATCCGACTAGAAAAGCTGAACTTTACATGGGCTTAATCAGAGTGACTTTAATTGATGGCAGGTGTGTACTAACTACTATTTAACATCAGTTTGATTGTGATATGTTAATTCTGAACACAGCCACACCCTGAACTGTAAGAGGTGTGTAAACTTATGCAGCCATATTATTTTATCCCACAAAACAATTTGTTTGTTTTTAATTAATTTGTACAGATTATATGTCACATTAAATTGACCTGGAGTTCACAGCATAGGAAACAATGCTATTTGCTAATCATGAGAACTTTCTTTGTTTAGGCAAATGTACACTGGTAGGCATATTCACCTTGTTCTTGAATTACCACATCTACCTTTCTAATAAATATGTTGCATTATCTATGGCCACAGAAGCATCAATAAACAAACCAGACCTTGTAATAACGCCTTACACTGAACCTTCATATACCACAATAAATCAGCCAATTGGCCAATCTATGTATTTATAATACTGAAATCTCTTACTTATTTGTCTGATGTTTGACCTTTTATGGTGAGTTAGATTCCTGATTGATTGTCATAAATAACATTCTGTATACATGCCTGCACATGCTGTGGGCTGTTGTGTAGACTCTGTCAAGAATATGGAAATTAGCTGCAATGCATTTTTCCTTTTGTAGGAATATTCACTGTGAATTGGGTTAGGCAGTGGTGAAGAAATGCTTATTTGCATCTATATCTACAGCTACATGACAATCTCTTTGGTATTTTGTAAGGACTAGAACACCAGAAGAATATATAGTTCTAAATGCTGCAGCTGAGGTTTTTATGATCAAAAATGTCACCACAAATAATTTTAAAGCATGTATTTAATTATCTTTTATTAAATGTATACTTAAATCAGTGTAAATCGTATGTAAATTATGGGCATATTTGAATTCCAGGAACCTTAAAAATCATTAGGTAACATGGAAAGTGCCAGCATTAAAATTGGCCGGACAGTTAGCAATACTGAGCTATCCTTTGTCCATCATAGTATTTGTGGGTGTGCTGTATATCTAAAGGCTGTAGATATGCAAATAATTGGGACATGTTGTAACCAATCAAGCCTATAGTTAAGAAACTTGTACAAAAATTATTTCAAAGAATACAGGAAATATATTTTGTTGAGACATTTGAAGTCAGAGACAAGTTTAAAGGCATAGTTGCATGTGCACAGCCTTGGCCTGCAAGCTTGTATGAGAAGCAGGTTGTAGTGCACATTTGTTTATAATTCTGGGACTGTCATGTGTTATTCCTGTGTGTAGGAAGACTTCTAATGACTATTGCACTGATTAGTCATGAGAAGCATAAAAAACACAGGAATAGAAGACAGAGACCATTTAGGTTTGAAAACATGATGTTCCTAGGTACAGTATAATGACGTCTTCACTCAATGCTATGTTGATATTACCGGATCTGAAACTAGGCTTCCAAACCAATTAAATTTACACCAATGAATAATTTAGCAATAATGTTCATAAAGCTCACTTCAATTACAAATACATGCTGTTGCTATGCCTGCTTTTGAGAACAGTGGGTGCAGTTATAAATAGCATATAATTTAACCCTTATAAACATTATAAATTGCATCTGAATACATTACTAAGTTCAGTCAGTTGACTCACACAATATCATCCGATTAAGAAACACATTGTCATAATCATATACATAATGATCTAACAATTTAATAATTTATTAAACCTAATGGGGCTGTCAACCATCATCATAACTTTTAGATGAATAAACTGAACAACAGCTAGATTCACTAATAAGCATATTGTTGTAAGTCGACAATCCTCACATTGACTTGAATAAACACAATTCAACATATAAATATATTGCAGTTTATATTAATTCCCACTGAATACAAACTAGACCCAAACAAGTTTTCAATATATTTTATCACAATCAGCTAATAGGAACTAGGGTACAAATGGTTGCAGAATTTGCAACAATTACTATGCAATAATGTAGGCAAGAAGAAATCTAGCAGGGGTCGCCAAAGCTCTTCAGCTCATCAACTCTTTCATGAAGTTTCAGATTGTTATTCCCCAAATGTTTATTATATAAAAATAATTTAATAAACACTATTTTAAATAATAGTACTAGAAGATAATAATATTTGTGTGACTTCTGTCGATTCTTCGTTTTGCTTTCCTTATCTGTCATTATGGTTGGTATACAGCTGAGTTTTAAGTGAATTCACACCAATCAATACATTTTTTAGCACCACTCCTATCACCATGAGTGTACTTACTGGCTCACCAACAGAGTTTGTGGTGGGTATTCTCACTGGGGTTGATTTACTAAATAGTTAAATAGGCTGTCAATTTTGCAAGGGTATTTTTACTTAGCTAAGTTAACGTGGACCTTTACCACTTTTTCACTAAAATTCAAATCAGCATGCAGTTATGCATGCTGATTTAAAATCATCTTACATTCATTAAACAAACATGTTTTGAATTTAATTACAAATAGAGTTCATCTACTTCCTAGGCCACTTCTGGAACAAAATATGTCATGTGCCAAAGTGTTGCATCCTGGGAAAGTTACATCAGCAGAGCATTGCTGAGAAATCTCATCTGTAATTTCATGAGATATGACGGAAAGACATTCTCCTCCCCTGAGAGGATGTGTATGGTCACATGTCTAGTCATACATGCCTGAGTTCCAGGAAGTAAAGGGAGATCTAGTAACCTGCTCTTAGTAAAAAATGGCCATTGCCAGAAAACTGGGAAAGTAAAAGAGAAATAAGTTATGCAAATAATACAAAGCCTGCAATTATCTGTATGTATGTTTTTGTAGATTGCCATTACCAAACATTTTCAAAGGTGTGTGTGTTGTTATTTTAAAATATGGGTGACATTCCTCTTGTATGCACTGAAGCTCTACTGACTGGGTCACACCACCCAATCATCTCCAAGCAAATCTTGTATTTATTTAGTTTGATTGGTTATTCTCTGTACAGTGAACTTTTACCAGATTCACTAACCTAAAGGAAAATTAATTTAGAAAGTGAAAATTCCCTTGCAAGGTGAACAGCCTGTATGCCTTTACTAAATTAACCCCACTAGTCTCCAACAGAGTTTGAGGTTGGTGTACTCACTGGCTCTCCAACAGATTTTGAGGTGGAACAATGTGTGTGCCCAGTATGTAAAGTGAACATATATGTACATACATCCTTCCTTAAGGGGAGAATAGAGGTCCACACAAAGCAGACCACTCTGGTAAGCAAGGCCAGTAAGAATAAAAAGTGGATAGAGACAACTCTTGCTGGCAGCTGAACATTCAACCCTGGGTAACACTGCCTCATTGCTAGCCACTTCACCTTTACAACAAGGGACTGGCATACAGCTCTACAAAAAGATGAACCGACCCCCTCTTGACCTTCCATCTTTTATCAATTCCCATTGACCCTCAGGCATTCACTAACCCTTTCACCTTCTGTCCTGATACTACAGTGGTGGATAAGTGGTCTTCAATGCCTCTAGAGGTTCCACAGTGGATCACATGAGGGCAGACTAGAAGATTTATACATTAAAAAAAAATATATATATGCAACATAAGACACCTTGTGAGGTCAAATCTGAATTGTGTGGCATTTTAAAAATATTTAGGGCATACATTAATTCTATATTATGTTAAACAAAAACCCAGGAAGTGAGCATGACAGTTAGCTACACCATCCTCCTCACCCCCTGGGTCATGATCACCCTATAACTGCAAGAGTCACAAGTGTTCAGTCCTGACATGCACTGGTGAAATGGTTCCATAACAGTGGTGGAGGGGAACACTTTCACCTGCACATGTATATTACATACATTGTATATTACATACATACATACATATATACATATATACACACATACATACATACACACAGTATATACTGTATATTATTACACTCTAGGTACCAGTCACTAGAGCAAAGCAGTCTCAGGTTCAAACATTGCTCAACTTTTTGTTTTACTTAAACATAGGATTTGATTTGACTAAGCCAAGGGAAAATCTCCTTCCAAGTGAACGGTCTTTTTGCCTTTAGTAAATCAACCCCATAACGATGAATGGGACTACTAATCTAGTGAAAGATCAAAGACAAATCATTACCATAAATTAATGAACATCCATTTAGGTTGTTCTAGACTACAGCTTCCTTTCACCACCATGCAGGAAAAAAAATGGAAAAAGGGTGGTGAGTCTCTTTCAGAGGGAATTAGATACAAAATCTTTATCCAGTTAAAAAAGCATATCTTAACCTTTTTTAATTGCATTGAAGAGTACAAATATGTTATGCTGATGCACAAAACCATCTTTCAAATTAAATCTCAACTCCAGGCAAATATAAAAGACTCCAATTGATGCAGCTCTGTATTTATTAATATATCATTAAATGTATTAATTAAATGCAAGCAGTGTAAGTACTGGAAATTGACTTGGTATCAACCTCTTGCAATACCTGTATAGCAGAGTTTAGACTAGGATAAGGATGGTAGCACAAAAAGCCAAACAGTTGTGCGGCAATGCAAGGAGAATGCTGCTAGGAGAAGAGGTTAGAGTGACAGACAGAAGAGCTTAACAGGTGGCTGTTTTTTTTCACATGGTGAGTAAGAGAGCTGTAAGTGAAAGTAAAGCAGGACACAGGACTGGATTAACAGAAATACAAATAATTTGAGACGTAAAACAACACTATCACAGATATTTTCTGTGTATTAAGCTGTTTGCCTGGAGTACAGCTTTAAATCATAAAATAATATATTTTCTTATATTATGGTTTGTTTTCACAAAATGTTTCATGAATTTATTGTTGCTGATATCAGAGGTTTGGAAATTACTTAGGCATTTAATTGAAAATGTTTTGATATAAAACACAAAATCCTAAGTATTAAAAATATGATTAGTAAGTCCATCCATAGCCAATGAGCTTTAATAGCCTCTCGTAACTGGAAAATAAAGCCCTTTGACTTTGAGTAATACACCTTTTTCAGCTGAACAAGTGCAAACTACATGCTTTGCTAATTCTAAAGGTTAAGCGTGGCATTTCCTGACCTTTATGAAATCTGAAGTGCCTGCAAATTAGGCCATTTATTGGGAAGACTTAAGCAATGAAGGTATTAAAATTTAAAGTACATTAATTACTATCCATTCACATTTTATATTATTGTAAAACTCCTAGTGAGTAAATTAATGGATGGAACATGGTTTGGTAATTACACCAGTCCAACCTCTGTCAATCAAGTAATTTTCCAGCAATCTAATAATTTTCTGCACCTGCAGTGCAAAATATTTTTTACTTTTTGTCAAAATATGTATTAAAAGTAGCTTAAAAAATGTATAAGAGTATATTGATTTTTTTTCTCTCCTCTGTGCAACAATGAAAAAAAAAGAACACTTAATCTATTTACAATTAACGGGCAGAGAAAATTGCTCATTTAATTCCAGTGGTCATTGAGCTGTGTGAATCTCCATCAGGGTTATACAGAGTGATGTCTCTGTACATTGCTTTGCTTATTTGTTTGATACCGTAAATGATAATGAAAAAAGAAACTGTCTGCTCTTGAAAGCAAATTGAATTGATAAATCTAAGAGGTGACCTATTTATAAAAAGCTTAAATAAACAGAAGTTAAAATCTCTAAAACACTTTAAGGGCTAAGCTAATCACATTTACATGCAAATTACAACAAGTTATGCTAGATGTAATACCCTTGACCCATTTTAAATATATTTAAATAACAACCAAATCTGACATCTAACCTCACTGGGTGATAGTTTGTTGCTGCATGTTAAATGTGCCATTTGTAAAGTTTATATTTAGTAATGCCCACATATGTACCTTTAATGCAACAGGCTGTACAGATAAAGCATGGGCCTATTATGCTCTTAAAAGGTCAGTGTAAATGATAAAAGTACACTTGCCTACCCTGCCTTGTCTTCCTGACCTAAACTACCCAACCTGCCCAGTTCCCTACCTACCTGAATAGTATAGCAGCCTAAATCCATCCAAGTGGGTGTGTCTGTGTAGTAAGCCCTCGCAGATTCGGGTACGGTTCTCTATAAGGGCTCACTACCAAGATGTGGTGAGCAGGTTTTTGGCTTTGAAGCAAGCCATGGTTGCCCTACTCAAATAGGTAAGCAGACAGGGCAAAGGGTGTGTGGGTGGGGGGCTGTTTAAGTCAAGATGCCGAGGAAGGGTTTGTAGGCACTTACCCTGTAAGAGAAATACCACATTGAACTTGAACTCTGGATCTTTTTTTCTTCTTCTTTTGCATAGAGGAGGGAAGGGTTACTACTCCTGGTTAGCATTGCTTGTAGAAGATGATCACCAGCACTGGGTGCTGGTGATTCTCATCTTCTACATGTTTAATACACACAGTGACATCTGTGACTATCAGTGAAAACACCACAGTTGTTCAGGTCCAATCATTGTATGGAGTGCAGCGAACACATCCGTATACAAGGTTATCATTGCTGTCCAAGTAACAATTGACAAGACTTGCCCTCACCTCATGCCTCAGAGGTACAACAGAATGTGGAAAGATTTATATCCTCAGAGGAGGGAAATCTCACCTTTTACTGCTGTCACCACAATAGGTGTACCCATTGGGAGAATGCCCCTTTTATTCTTTATCTACTTTAACTTAACCATTGAATTTTGAACTCAGGTTAATACGTTAAACTGAAACTCTGTAGCAGACTTCGTGTAGAAAGTTAAAGGCTTCTGATTAGAACACCCCCCTCTGCTGTTTATATCTCTCCCTAGCTCTAGTAGGTATATATCTGAATTCTGGTATTTCCAGCCCCACCCTCTATCATGTTTATTTATATCTGGCTCAGCTAGGCCCAGTAACAGATAGTAATGCACACAATGGAGAAATAAAGTCAGGAAATATATAGAAGGCATGCTGCCTCAGGCTCCTGTTGTGCCCAAGTTGGACTGGTTGCAATGCACAGAAAACTGCTAGTTGTGCATAACTATTATCAGATCAGGTCAGATCTAGAATCTGATGGATAAGTTTGCTGATTTTGCTGTAATATCATTTGTCTCTAATTTTGCTGTTGAACCAGGTACATTAGCATCCTGCAAGTAATATAAAACAAAATTAAACAATGTTAATTGTACCTGGATATAAAATGGGCAGCCTCTTTGGTTAACCTTTGTGTAAGGTTTTCATATATTAATGGTTGCTGGATAATATGGTAGTTTTTCATCAAAAAACAATTTAAGTAACGGAAGTTCCAAAAGTAGAAAATACAGAGAACCAGAAGGATGACGATGCATAATAAAAAATAGAAGAATATTCTCCAGGGTGCTTTAACATGTCCAGTGTAGTTCAGGAAAATAAGAGTTACCAAGGTAAGGCAAACAATTGGAAACAGATATTCAGTGACTTTGACTAATCCAGTGAAAAAAACACTTCCATTCTCTGGTATGCAATCCCGCAAATGTGTCATTGGTGTTCCATAAAAATAATCAAATCCATGATTTAGTGGGTGGTGGTGAAAATCACTGTTCCTCTCCTTATTTAGTCCAAGATGCCATTTTCCTGCAATTAAAAAACAGGTTTAATTGTTATTTTATTATCACACCTACTTACTGTGTACATATACAGTATTTCTTGATTCAGGATTAATTTTTTCCAGAAGTTCACCACACATGAAACTGAAAACTGAAGCGCTTGCTTATATCAATCAATATTAAAGTAAAATGTATCTTAAGACCATCACCTTGATTACAACATTGTTAAGGTATACTTAAACCTCCCCAAAAATTTAATCTATTGCAGCTGACCATTCCTAAGCTGTATTTGTTTTCCATATTCATGCATTCTGTTTTTTCTGTCAGGAACACACTTATGCGTGAGTGAAAATGCTCACTCACTGTACTGTATAGTTAGAGAAGAAGCATTTTCACCCTAGGGCAGAAAGTGTGTTGGGACTAGAAAACAACCCCTTCAAATCTTTATAACAGGGGAAGGTGTTTTGTAGCTCACGGAGAGAAATGGGAATATTGCTAAATGAGAAGACTCTTGCACAGATATAATGCAAAAGAAGCTATTAGCTCACTAGATTTCTGTCAAGATCAATAGGTATGTTTTGTATTAATTGAACAGATATAATAAAACCCTTTCAATGGGATATTTAACAGACCAAAAAGGAGCAAATACAATAAGTTAGTTGTTAGGGTTCACATTCCCTTTAAGTTTGCAGTAGTGATGGACTTTCCGCCTAGATTCCCAATGTTTTTATTATTATCATAAGGGTTGAGTTAATATTCCTGGGTTCAATTCACAAGTCATCTGTTGAACCCATTGTACAATCCCAAAATTGCAGACTTTAATCTGTGCCTCATTGAAGTCTATTGATGGCACATCTTGCAAATCGGTTCTGGCCATTCTTAAGGCCTGCAGTTAAGAGATTGTCAAACAAAGGGCATGCAGAGCTGGACACTGCCATGGGGGACATGTACCAAAGCAAAAAATAAATAAATGTTAAAAAAATACCATTCGGGGCCAGAAAGGCCTCCTTTTTATGAGAGGGTGACATGGGAAAAACTCTTTTTCTTCTCCCCCATAGGGGTATGCATTATTGTGCAGACTGGAGAGCAGGAGGAGTGTCGGGGTGCTGGTGGTGAGGGGGAGGGGTGTGTGTGTTGGTGGTGAGGAGGTGAAGGGTTGGCATGCTGGTGGAGCAAATCTGGGATGGTTTCCACTTCGAAGGAAATTGCAAATTACTTTTTTTTTGTTTTTTTATCTAGAGGTGAAGGAGTGGATTATTTTTTTGTTGGTACCATAACCCGGGAAAAGTGCTTTTTGATTTAAAATCAATCTATTCTGTTGAGTTTATCAAGTAAAGTTTTGCACATATATTTAACACCTGGGATAATATTGGAGTTTTGCAAATTGTTTCTTAATTGCTATTGGCTACCCAGTTGGACTGTTGAACAATAACATGAACTGCATACTTTTACAGGTAAATAACAGGCTGGTTTAAAATCAAGAAATCCCCCCCACAGAGTAAACAGCTCTGCAAATGCTTTCTAAATACACCTGTGTCATCAACACACTCTGACTGTAAATATAGGACTTTTCAGTGGCACTGTGTAGGTTGGCAGAAATTAGCTCTCCCTGCAAAGCACTGTGTGATGTATCTATTCCAACTGTTTCCAACACATACTGACTGTAAATATAGGAATTTTCAGCTGCAATATGTAGGTTGGTAGAGACTCTTCTTTAAACACACTGTAATCTCTCCTTGTCTGCTACATGACTGTTCAACACACAGTGAGTGTGTCTGTGGCTCAGTGTAAATAAAGACATGTTCAGCAATCAGCAGCAGCAACTAGCTCTCCTTGCAAACACTCTGATCTGTCACAATCTGCTCCAGGATTGTCCAACACAAAGTGAGTGTGTCTGCAACTCAATGAAAATATAGATGTTTCCAGCAATAAGCAGCAGCAACTAGCTCTCCTTGTAAACACTGTGTTAGATATCCCCACCTGCCCCATGTTTGTCTAATGCACAATGAGCATGTTTTTGATCACTGTAAATATAGATGTTTTCATCTATCAGCAGCAGCAACCAGCTCACCCTGCAAATACTCTGACTTTACACATATGAATCCTAGGTGTACTCTAGCAGTTGTGTGTGGCGTGTAGTCCTGACAACAATTCCTATTCTCCAGTTTATGGCCACTTAAAATCAAATGAGATAGCAACAGTAGAAATATTGGTGATATATATCTCAACTTGAGTGAATTAGTAATATTGGTTGACAAAAGCAACCCAGGCTAGACACAAAGCAAGTTGCTATATTATAAAACCTACAATGACCATTTAAACTTATGTTTCCACATCTTAGACGTTGGTATTCTATTCAAGGGTGTAACTACAGATATAGCAAACCATGCAGCTGTTTTGGGGCCTGGAAACAAGGAGAGTCCAGTAATATCTGGCCACATTGTGATGTATTTAGGTAGAAATAGCATATAGTACAAAATTTGGATACATTTAATGTATATATAGCTTGGGAACCTCTATATGATTGCTATTAAAGCAATTGCTAGTCTGCACTGGAGAAATCACCCTCTGATTCGGACATTAACCAGGGAAGATTTTAAATGGATTTGCAATTGTATTACCCCATTACACATAGTTATAGCCCTGTTTCCACCACTTTTATTTTGTACAGCAGTTTATATTTTCTTCTGGCAATATCATTGTATGACTACACCTCTGGCAATTGGAGACTTAAAAGTGTAATACAAATTGAGCAGTGGCCCTAGAAGGTGGATTATTGCACTTTGCAGTGTCTTTTACATGGTATCCATTACCTGTAGGCAGCCATGTGCAGTACATATTATCAAAACTAGATACAACATTTCCATTGGATTCCAGAGGCTACGATATTTGATAATGAAGTTCTGGAAAGCTGTATGCATTCTGCTTTTTTTTTTTCACAAGTAAGTTTTTATTGTGTTTTATCAGTTGTATAGTTACATACAGTAGTCAAGTAAAATAAGGTACAGTAAACAATGAGATATTCATACATGAGGGAAAAGGGGGGGGGGGATTCCATGGGAACATGCCTCAATATACAATATAGAAGGTGATTATGTGCACAGCAATGACATTCCAGTTATTCACTTATGTATTTATTTTAACCTAAAGAGGCAGAAATAGGACCCGCACATTGTAGGGACCCAAGCGTTGCTAAAAAGTTGTATTCGTTTCTTGTAATGTGACTTTACTTGGGGCTTAAAGGAAGGTCAGTCTGTCGTTACTGTGTTTGCTTGAGAGGTCGTTCAATGCTGTAGTATAATGACTCGGCTCATCCTGGGAACTTAACACCACTGAGGGTGAGGAAGGGTTAGGAAGAAGGAAAAAGAAAGAGGAGGGTGCAAAGGCTCCTTGATAGAGGAGACATGAGAGAGGGTAGGAGAATGAAAAGTGGGTTAGGGAGAGGGGGAAGGAAAGCTGGGGTAAAGTAGGGTGAGGGGAAAAATAGAGGAAGAGAAAAGAAGGCGTCTCCCTCTCGCCCGCCTCCAAGCGCCCCATGAAGAGCCTCAGGGTCTTTTGTATCTTTTGTAGTTAGGGGTAAGCGATACCACTAAATATTGGCTGGATTAAGGGGGGAAGTGAGGATGTGAAATTCCATAGTAAAGGGGGGACCAAGTGATACTATGTTAGGGCAACGTATCTGTCAGTCGCTTTGAACATGTGCCAGGCCACCCACGTTTTCACAAAGCGGGGCATGGTGTCTCTATCACTGGATATTAATTCCTCCATGCGAGCCACCATGTCCACTCGCGACAACCATTCTTTAATTGTCGGTGATTCAGGTTTCTTCCAGTGTCTAGGAATCACCGTTTTAGCAGCGTTCAGCAGGTGTAGTGTCAGAGATTTTTTGGAGATGTTTCCTGAATTTGGACGTTCAATGAGCTCTTCATTAACAGTTCATCCATTTTTTCCCAGTCTTCAGGGGTGAGACTGATGGACAGTTCCCGTTCCCAAGCTTGCGCAGAGGGAGTGTGCGGGAGTGAGGAGGCCTCTGAAATTAGGGAGTAAGCTTCAGATACTGTGTGCGAGATCCGTCCTGATGCCGCGCAAAGTCTTTTGAATGGAGTGAGAAGACGTGTAAAGTGGTGTCTAGTTTGTTGTGCATTAAGGAAATGTCTTATCTGCATATATTTCCATAATGGCAGTGGTCCACCTTGGGCCTCTGAGTTTAGATCTGCCAGAGACCTGAATTGCCCTTGGCTGTCGAAGAATTTGTTCGCTGTCAGGGACCCCGTGGGGGACCAGCATTTTAGAAAAGCAGAATGGAGACCTGGAGTAAAAGCCGGGTTCATGGTAACCGGGGTGAGGGGTCCGGGTGTGGACGAGAGTCCCGTGTTCCTGCACACTGTGTCAAAGAGGCGCAAAGATGCCCCCACCGTCGGGTGAGAGAGCACCTGGGAAGAAAATAGCGAGCGTTGTATCCAAGGCCAAGAGCCAATTGGAAAATCTGCTTGAAGCTGTTCAATTTGGACCCAGTCCTTGTGAGGCCCATGGCGAACGCAGTCTAGGACGCGAGCTAGGTGACATGCTCGATAATAGTTTAGTACATGGGGAAGTCCTATACCCCCTGAGAGCTTTGAGCGGGTCAGGGTCTGGAACCCGATTCTCAGCGATCTATCATTCCACAGAAAGTTGCGAAACAGCGCGTTCACCGAGGAGAAGAAGGCTTTGGGAATGGAAATGGGTATAGTTTGGAACAGGTATAGGAGTCTAGGCATGGCAGTCATTTTAAGAATGGCTGCACGTCCGAACCAGGAATATAGCATTTTGTTCCATTCTTTCATGTCTGTTCTAAGTTTAGATAGCTGAGTGGTAAAATTGAGGGAGTAAAGCAGTTGCAGGTCATTAGGGAGTTCAATCCCCAAATATGTAATGGATAAGTCAGCCCAACTAAATGGAAATTGGGATTAGCAGAAGTGAACCAGGTCATCTGGAAGGCAAACGTTTAAAGCGGCAGACTTGGATAGGTTAATTTTGAAGAACGAAATT